AAATTTATTAAGATAAATAATTAAAAATAAATTTTTATCCGTCGCCACATACCATGTTTAAAAAAGGTGTTACTGTTGAGCTGCCACTGACGAGGCATTGGGGCAACGGAACGGACGAAACAGCCCTCAATTTTGGACTGACGGGCTAAAATCCTCAACATTGTAAATTGGGGGCTAAAACGCTCGAAATTAATAAGTTAAGGGCTTCCCAGGCTTCCCGCGACATATATTCTTTCGTTTACGATGTCGTTTAAGCTCTTCGTGTCGATCTTTTCCAGAAAGTAGTCTTGGCCACCGGCGGGCGGCGAGGGCCTCTGTGGGACTCATTTCGGCGAGAAAGCAGAATCATTCCGGCAGTGGAGATGGAGGAGGATACAAAAATCAGGAGGGAGACAGAGAGCCGATTGCTTGAGAAGGTCGGTGAAGTGATAACTGCCATACAAGCTGCAAAGCATGTCGACCAAGTGATACGTGCTCTTCACTCTTTAGCCGTCCTCCTCTTCCCTCTCGATTCCTCTCTTCTTTCAGGTCAATCCCTATCTCTTTCCTCGAAATCTGAATACGCAAGTTCTTAGAATCAATTGTTTGGTTGTTCGGAAAGTGTATAAAAAAGAATGGGCAAAGAACTTTATTTATTTATTTTTTTTACGAAATTAGGATTTTATTTTTGACATAAATGGTTTGTGGATTAACTGAGTAGAAACTTTCCATTTTTGTGAAGATTCTGCTTTTTCATGGAAGAGGAATTTTCAACTGAAGAACTAACAAATACTTTGGAGTTACGGATTCTGCATTTTCATTTTTGCTAATTTACTTTAATGGAACTAATTATTATCTTATTATGGGATTGCAGGGAGTATCGATCAGCCCTACAGAGATCAGGTTCATATGATTGTACTTTCCACAACAATGTTTTTCCCGGTTGTGCAATTTTTTTTTTTTAGAGCTTTTTACTTGTGCTTTGTCCAGGTTCTTAGTGTTAAGGCTCCATCTGAAAAGGAAAGAAGTGATTCTTTTCAGGCGTTCTACCAAGGAGCTGCATTTCCCGCATTGGCTCGGGTTTTGTTGTTTGGTAATTTGCTCTAATGCTTGCCCCTTTTAAAAGTCCTTTGCTTCTTTTGTATTGTGTGTTTGAATCTACTTCTTTGATGTTTTTCCACATGTTCTAGATATATAGAGCCTTCCATTTGATTGAGCTGTTGAGGAAAACTGAACTCAGTCTGCATATTAGTTTTTTTCCCCCATTGCGTTGACAATGAGTTTGGCTAAGAAGCATTTATATAATTATATCCATAGATAAAGGTTTTTTTGGTCTTCATATCCTATGAGGCATCATTGGTTGAGAAAGGAATCTGTAACATTAAGTTTCCATCTATTGGTTGCTTTTGGAATTCAAAAGCATTTACTTTTTGACATATTATTGAAAAGTTTCTGCATCTTTAATGAAAAATTGATGTCATGGTGGGATTAATTATCTAGTGTTTCTCACATAAGTTGTTGTTGTCTACAGATGTTGCTTCTAATTGGCTTGCTTGTTTCCCCTTCTCGGCACAGAAACATGTTTATGATGTTTTCTTTGTTAATGGAGTTGTCAATGAAGTTATTCAGGTTTTGGTCCCTGGTCTACAGCAGAACAGGATTAGTGGACTCAATATTGATGCTGTTCAGGCAAATATTGAAAGGCATGGCAGAATATGTTCTTCTTTAATGGGCATTTATTGCAGCTTTATTCTTCTTGTCCAACCAGACTAATTTTCGCTGGATTAGTTGAGGCTGCTTTTGGAAGAGATTATGATTAATGAGTTTAACTTATCATTTTTTTAAACAACCGAGTTTAACTAATGATAATTAATGCATTTTTAAGTACAATTTGATTAGCAAAAAATGATATAGTAGCATTTCTCTACAGAGTCAAGAGTTTGGTGCTTTGTTGCAAGGCATTGCAAAAGCAATCATAGATCCTTGGTCATTGTTTAATTAAAAAAAATTAGGTATTTGTACTTATCTTCCTTCCTCATGTTTTCAAAATGGGTTTTTTACTATCTTGATAAATATAACAAGATATGTTTGGGTTTGAATTAGTGTATGAACGGCTAGTATAGTGAAGTGCTGTATTGCATCATGCCCAATATGATAGACATTCCTGAAAGAAAGGTGGTGCCACTACATATCCACTGGTTTTTTGGAAATAAATTTATCATACATGATAATGAACTGATAGATTATGGCTGACATTATTTATGTTTATGGCAGATTACTTGTGCTTTGCTTGCTTGAAAATAATGGTGTGTGCCAGATGGCTAGAAAATTTGGGTATCTATGCAAGCCCAGATGTGTCTCAGATAAGAAACTCAGGGAAGATGTGTCTAGGGTGGCACAGATTGTTACATCTGTTCCTGACAAAGCACGACTGACAGCCACGCCTTCACTTTCATCGCAGTATCCTTAATCTCTGATGTGCTTAGATTTTTCAATTCATACCATGCTTGTGACTTTCATGTGGTTCTATTCTTCAATGTTTAGTTTTGAAAATGTTTTCAGCTGCCCTTGATAGTAGCATAGCTATATATATAATTTTTAATGTCTAATTACATCAAAATTTTCTTAAATAAATGCCTCTTATTCATTGTTTATTCTTTACAAGAGCATTACAGTTCATTCTTCAAGCAGATAATCCTCCAACTTCTTAGTGGAGTAGAGGCAGTAACCATGTCCACTAAAAATGAGATGGATGGCACCTTTTTATTTATTGGGGAGACATTTTCTCGCATTTGCAGGCGTGGTTCTTCGGGTAATTAAAATATTTCAAGTGCTCAAGTCAAGTATTTTTTTTCTCTTGTCATTTTGATTATACATCCCATTTCTAATGACTATAGTTCCATTAAGTTATTTCCTGCTTTATTGCTTAATTTTTCCTTCCATTTATTCCCCTGATTTAAATTGATGAGCATATAATTTATTCTCAGTGAATCTGATGGCATCCTTTTGTATTGTCTGTTAATCACACAAGTTATCTGATGCAGAAGTTTTATTGAATTTTCTATGGACTAATGTTTTAAGTGTTTTATAAGTCACAGATCATCTAGGTGGCAGGGATACATTGTGTTTTCCCTGTGCTAACTTGCATGCAATGCATTTCTTTTTCATCATATTTAGTATTCTTGTTCTTCATCCTAAATTCTGGTAACTATGCTAAATAATGAGATAGTTGTGGAGTTTTAAATCTTTAATTAACTCACAGACAAGTGGTGACAGTACGATCTTATGTGATAATAATTGATAGGACGCAAAGTAATGTGTATAAAGAAGGCCAGAAAAAAGTAATTTGTGTAATGAAAATAGAGAATGAAAGGGCGAACATTTCCTAAATTCACTGTATTTTATGTGGTTCATAAAATATGAAAATAGAATCATTCAACTTTGTCAATTTGTACAATATAGTAAAAGTTATGGAAGGGATTTTTTGTGGCCAGTATGGCAGGACTGTTGTTGTCAACATTTTAACTATGTTTCCTTCTAGATCACTAATCTAATTATGAGTATTAAATTATTGGAAAACCATGTACAAGCAATAACCTTATCACCTGTTTGGATTCTTGTATGGACACTTAGTTTAGGTTCTGCCTGCCTTGTTCTCAGGTACCAGATTATTTTAAAGCAATAAAGGTTTTCGGAATTGATAATGATAAAGTGCTGCTAACTATGTGAGCCTATTAGATGGCTGATGGCTGGTTGATTCCTGAAC